TTAGTGTTTCTTAGGGAAGAATGTGGGAAAAAAAACCCTCTCCCTTTCGTTTGTCCCCACTAGCTGCAATTTGATACACTGCCCCTGTAGCCCTGGAAAGCCAGTGGTAGACAGAATCCATAGAACCAGTGTTAGATGTACAGAACACGTAGAATCAATGTTAGACCTATCTGCCCACCCCATAGAATTGCTGAGAGATATACCCGCTGGAACTGTGATAGACACACACACACACACCCAGCCATTGAGAGACCCACACCATAGAATCGTGATAGACACACACTCTGTCCATCCAGCCATTAGTAGAGATACACACCAATAAAACCATTGAGTGTCAGAGGGACTCACCCACCCCTTAGAACCAGTGATATAGACACAGTGCACTGTCTGTAGAACAAATGGTAAAGACACAGACACTGTCCTTAGAACTGAGAATAGACACACACACACCCACACCCACACCCACAGAACTATTGAAAGACAGACTCACCCCGAAGAACCAGTAGTAGACATGCCCGCACCGTTCATAGGACCAGTGATAGAGACCGCCCCCTCCCGTAGAGCTGATGACCGGCTTGCACGATGTCATGTTTTTGTTTGGCAGATGTTTCGTCAGCATCTGTTATGCTGAGTAAATATGTGTTGAATGGATGTGGAGCAAAAGCGGTGCTGTTTTAAAACATTGAATCCTTGCTGGAATCAGGACTGCTTTAACAGTTTTGGCTGGTATGGAAGTGAAGGTGGTGCGGGTTTTTCTTGGTTTTGCCCCTGTTTGAGGTGACTTTTCTTTCTCCTCGTCTCCTGTGAATGGTGGTTATTTCAAGCCCTGAGGCAGATCCTACTTGTTTAAAGAGACTTTTCCATTCTGAGGGATCTGAATCCCTAACATTTAGCCCTATGTTTTAATATTGTTACATTTCTGCCAAAATGGCTCTTATTTGGGTGATGCTTTGTATTTACCACACTGTTAAACTGTCCTTATAGCTGAACTGCTTCGGTTTGGGCTGACGCTCGGGGAGCACAGTCTCGCAGACGTCTTCAGCTTGAAACTGGGAGAGCAGAGTGGGATGGGGTGCGGAGATTGGCCTTGGTGAGCCGAGCCTGAGGGACTGGGTTTCTGGGGTGCTGAGGGTCACCGTGGAGGGCCTTTTCCTCGGCGTTCCTTGTGGCTTGTTAATTCAGTGAGGCTGCCGGATGAGTATCCTTGGGCAGCGTGAGGGGCTGGAACTTTTGTCATCTTTAGTATTGATCAGTAAAACTATGTTGCATTTTTATTTCAGAGAAGCCTGTGTCTCCCAAATCAGGAACATTGAAGAGTCCTCCCAAAGGATTTGATACAACTGCCATAAACAAAAGCTATTACAATGTGGTGAGTAACTGCAAAACATTTTTGTAGCTAACTGATTTTTTGACTGTCTCTAGAACTCAGCAATGTAGAATATAGGTAAACTACCTAGAATAGGAAGAAGGAAATAAACTTCGTTCATCTGCCACACAGTTTCCTTGTAATCTCAGTATTTTTATATGTTTTTGTTTTAATACTGTGTATATGGAAACATCCCTTCCTCTTGTCCCATAACATAGTAATGTCACTATTTCCCCATGTTATTGCCAGTCTTCAAAAATGATATTTTAAAAGGTATATGATGATATTTGAAAATTTTATATGCATTGAGTGCCATTCTGTTTGTATTCAGAGTAGGGTGTAAGTACTTTAGACATAGGGTTTCTAATTTATTTTTCCTCTTAATACAGTCTTGCCCAGGATTGTTGTGTACCTATCACATGGCGTGGAATTAGGGGAGCACATCTACGTGCTATACCTGTTAAAGACAGGTGTTTCTGGATCCTAAAATTTGCAGCTTAATATGTTCAGTATGTGGTATTAAATCTGTATAGCCTAATGGTATTGAATCTGTGTAGTCTAATGCTATTGTCTGTATAGTCTAATGCTATTAAATCTGTATAGTCTAATTCTGTTAAATCAGTGTATAGTCTCATGGCATTAAGTCTGTATTGTCTAAACCTTCTTCGTACCTAAGCTTATGCAGCAATTGCATGCGCTATAGAAATGGAAAATAATTTTTAGTCACTCAACATAATAACAGCAAAGCAAACCCTCTAAACATACGTATGTTATGAATTCTGGGGAAAATGTGCATTTATTTTGTTATTTCTTTCCCTATTCCCAATCTTTTTTATTTTCCTAGTGAGGAGATATAAATATGAACCTCTGAGACCTTTGAGTTGTTGGTATGAAGTAGCAGTTGATTGGTGTGTCTCTGCAGCAGCTGTTGTATTGTGAGCTTTTCATTTTCTGCACCTATGTTGAGAAATGGTGAAAAGTTGTGGTGAAATGGAGTCTGAACAGCTCCAGCACGTGGACCTCTGCCACCGTTTTGTGGTGTGGGGCCCGCGCTGTCAGCGTTCTCCCGAGTGCCCACCTTCCATCTGCTCCGCCATCTTTCTGCAGGGCAGACTGGCCTGGGGACCCACTCGTTAATAACTGTCTATTTGGTGCCTGCTCTGTGCAGCTTTGTTAAAGGCACTGGGTACACGGTGAACAGAATGGCGGGTGCTCTCCCATTGCTGAGCTTGCACTTGGGTACGGGAACACTTCTCTTGCCTCCACTTTTACTGCTAATTTTTCAGAGTTTGACATTTCTGCATCTTCTTGGGAACAGGTCTCTCTTCATGCATCATGCCATTTCTCTTACCTCAGTAGCAGTCTTCGACTTCTTTTTCTTGTATTTGGTCAACTCCAGACCCTTTTCTGCCTTGGAAACACTTTTCTCTGCTTCCCTTCTTTCTTCCCTTTTCTTCATTCGTCTTCATTTAGCTGCTTGGGCTCTGCCTTCCATCTCAACTTCGTCGACTTTCATAAGGTCAGACTCCTTTAGCCCGTGGTGTGGCCCGCGTTCCCTGGGATGCCTGTTTTCTGTCGTCTCCTAGTGCTCTGCATCACCTTCATCTCTTGGCCTGTTGGGCATTTGCTCTGAGAATGTGGCTCTACTAACTGACTTGCTTTTTAGTGTGTAATGTAGTTTATGTGTCATTTTGTGTACATAGCTACAAAATCAGCAGATAGGGTTTATGGGTTGTAGGAGAACTTGAGTTTTAATGCCTGGTGCTGCAATTTCCTCTTGCATTCTTGTATAAGACATCGCTTTCCTTGTGACTGCTTCATGTAGTGAATAACACAGCCACAATCCACAGTGAGGTTCCAAATAGGGTGTTACCCTCTGTTGTTGTTCAGGTCCAAATAATTGTGTTAGAAAAAATGGTTAGCAGTGTCTAAATTGGTGCCAAGGGCATTCTTTAGTTTCTCCATGAATCTTGCTTCCATTAGGCACTTTATGAAACCAGGCAACCATGCTTTTTTTAGAAATCCTGGTGGGTTTTTGTTTGCATCATATATTCTGTAATGCTTTTCAGATTGAAGTATAGTCGATACTTTTTTCATTTTCCTTCTCTAACTGCCCTTTCACAGAGAGAATAGCCTGGTTATTATAAGTGCTCTTTTCTTCAAATCAGCCAACTTTTTCATATAGAACGATGGAAAAAACACCTTGACCTCAAAATCACATCTAAATTGTTGTCTGTATAAAGCTGCATTCATAAATAGTGCATGGTTAAATTACAGTTGTTATGGAAATAAACTCATAGAATTCATAGAGAATCATCTTTTGATGTAGTACTCTCATTTTACAGTAAAGAAAACAGAAGTTAAATGCCTTGTCCAAGGTTATACACTGGTTAGTGACTAAGCCGGGAATCAATTTCAGCTTTCCTAATTTTATATTTATAAATTGTGCATAAAAGTAGAGAACAGAATACAACACAGAACAAAATACAATAGATAATGTGTTAGGCATTTCCAGAGCCCCTTTAGTAGTTTTGTTTTCACAGAAAACTGTAAGGTCTAGGTGTTTTTAACCCCACTGAGAGTTGAAAACTTACTAAAGGGTAAGACCAGTGTGGACTAGTGGTGTTAAAGTTACATGAATGACTTGTTTTAACTTGGGATCTGTTTAATGGAGTGAGAATAGTATTCCACATGAAAGTACCAACATTTTGAAATTAAGAGATAATGAGACAGGTATGAATGGGATGGATATGTGTCTTCTGCTATTGTATAATGGTTAAGATGAACACCAAAAAGAGACTGGGAAGTTAAAAAAAAAAAAAAAAAAAAAAAACCTAGTAATTTATGACTGTTATCATGGTCCATTCAGTAACTATTTCTTTCTCTTCTCCCTCTGGGACTCCTGTTGTGCAATCAGTTAAATAATAGACAATATTTGAACCATTGTCTTCATATTGTCCTCTAATTTTTAAGCATAGTTTCCTTTAGTTCGTTGGACATATTTATAACAGGTGCTTTGAAACCTTTACCTCCTAAGTCCAATATATGTGCCCCTCAGAGACAGTTTCCATTGACTGATTCTTTTTATTGTGCACATATGTGTGTGCACGTGCATGGTCACATTTTCTTGCATGTCTTACAATTTTTAAATTGAAAACTGGACACCCTAACCCTATTTTAGCAGTTCTGGATGCTTAAAATCCACCTCCCCTGGGATGTGCTGCTGCTGAGTCTTGCTCGTGACTCAGCATTTCTGTAGTTTGTCTCCCCATAGTCACCGATGTCTGTTTTTAGTTTTGTTTTTATTTTTAAGTCTGCCTTTCTAGGATTCACATTTGGGTAGCATAATTTAGTATTCAGCCAAAGACTGACCAGAGATTGTGCTTACACACCTTTAACAGTCCAGATATTACAGCTCACACCTGTAATCCCAACACTTTGGGAGACCCAGTTGTGAGGATTGCTTGAGGCTAGGAGTTTGACACCAGCCTGTGCAGCATAAGAAGACCTTGTCTCTCCAAAGACCAAAGTTAGCTGGTGGCAAGTGCCTGTAGTCCCAGCTACTCGGGAGGCTGAGGCGGGAGGATTGCTTGAGCCCTGGAGTTTGAAGCTGCAGTGAGCTATGATTGCACCACTGCATTTCTAGCCTGAGCTACAGAACAAGACTGTCTCTTTAAAAAATATAAAAAAACACCTCTAACGATTAGGTTTCACTCTTTGCCAGTGATCTGTATGGGGTTGGGAATGCATTCAAAGATGGGGCTGGGGAGCAGCATGACTTTTTGAAAGTTAAATCTGTGGATGAAATGACAAAGGAAAAGATAAATCTTTTAGGCTACATAATGAGAGTTTAATAAATTATTTGCCTCAAACAATACAAGCCAGATTACAAATTAATTGGAGTCTTATTTGCATCAGGTGTAATGCAAGGTTATCCTTAAGGTCTGAAGAGCTAATTAAGACAAATACATTAAGATTAATAGATAAATAGGAAAGGACGTGAGCAGTTTAGAAAGTGGTAAACACTAGACTTTGGAAAAAAAAATAGTTAAACTTACCATAAAAATTTAATAGTCATACTTGCTGTATTCAGTGAGCAGAGATTTAAAGAGAAATTTTTAGTTCTAATGGTGGACATGAAAATCCATATAGAGTTTCTCCAAAGTAATATGGCAGTTATATATAGAATTCTGAAAGTGATCATGGTCTTTAATTTATGGCTTTCTTTTTAATTTCTGCTTCTTAAAATCCACTCCAGAGAATTAACCTGAAACATATTCAAAGATGCTTATATAAAGGCATTTTCAGAGGATTATTTGTTATAGTAATTGCAAGCAATCCAAAATAAACAACATGAAATAAACCATACCAGAATCATGAAGCGATCAGTGGTTTGTCCATTTGTAATCATTAAAATGTACATGAGCCTTTAAAAATACCAAAAACATACATTTTCATGTTAAGTGCATTAACAGTATGAAATTATGTAGGTGATAGCATCTAATGGTATTACAAAGTTGGCATAGAAATAGAGAAGGGTTTCTTTTGAGTGGAGGAATTTTAGCTTCCCACTAATGTAAGGGATCGTCATTATGGGGAAGTGTTTGACACCACAGTCCCGAATGTGTTGGAGATAGCAACGGGCCTCTGAGGCTAGGGAGGAGGCCAGTGTGGAACATGGCAGGAACAGGGCCTTGCTTGGGCTTGGAGAGTGACAGGGAAGGAAGAGGACATCATCTTTCATAAGTAGCTCTTTTCATTTCAATTAGTTTTTGTGACTAAGCCAGCCACTACTCTTGCCTTTATTTTCTCACATATGTACGGTTTGAAATCAGTCCGTTAGCCATGTCTTCTTAGGGTGACCTTGTAGGTAGCTGAGCGATCAGGGTGGCTTGATGCAGTGGAAGGTGTACAGCCTTTGTGTTGAATTGTCCATGCTGCTTAGCCTGGGTGGCCAGGAGGTTTGCCCCATGCTGCCTGAGCCCAGGTTTACCCCAGGATGCTTCGTTTGTAGAATGAGTTGGTAATGCTGGCCATGACCTGGTCGTATGTTAAGGGGACTGGCAGTTGGCCTTAAGGGCTTCAGCAAAGTGCTGGACCTTAGAGGTTTTTGTGCTTATTAAGACGAGTATTTAAGAGCATTGGGAATGGAAGGCATCACTGAGGCCACCACAGCATTCTGTTTGTAAACTGGAATCCCAGTAGCTTCTGAGGGCGATGTGCGAAAGCTGTAGCCAAGGTGGCCTGATCATATCATTAAAGGGGACAGGTCTGTGACCTGATGTGCCTGAGCTTGGTGGGTTTGACAGTGAAAGCACGCTTGTTGGTGACCGACATCTTTCCTGATAGGGATCAAAGGGAGGGGTTGGATTCCTAGGCTGGAGAGAATGATAGTCTGGAGTCTCCTCTTGCAGGGATGAGGAGCACCCCCTCCACATTAGAGAATGGGCTTTCTTAAGTTGCTGACTGGGAAGACACGGTCCTTATGGCCTTCCCTGCTCAGTGATACGCACTACGACTTTAGTTTGTAGGCTATCTGTATTAGTCCGTTCTCACAGTGCTATGAAGAAGTGCCTCAGACTGGGTAATTTATGAAGAAAAGAGGTTTAATTGACTCACAGTTCCACATGGCTGGGAGGACTTCAGGAATCTTATAATCATGATGAAAGGCGCCTCTTCGCAGAGCAGTGGGTGAGAGAAGAGTGCCAACAGGGGAAATGCTAGATGTTTATAAAACCACTAAATCTTGTGAGAACTCACTATCATGCCGTCGTGAGAACAGCATAGGGGAATGCCGCATCCTTCTCCCCGGCCATGGTTCAGTTACCTCCACCCAGTCCTGCCCTTGACACATGGGGACTATGACAGTTCAAGGTGAGATTTGGATGGGGACACAGAACCAAGCCATGTCACTTTTCCTGTTATTTTGTGCATGTTGGTAATACTGTGACTATAATGTAATAGGTAGCAGTCACTCATTTTAATCTGTAGGTGTACAAGAACGGTTTTGTATCCTTAGATGTCATGGCACACTTCCACGGGCCCTTCCTGTGCTCCAGAGAAGCCCCATGGCTGTCTTTTCCTTCCTGCTCCTTCAGTTTCTGGGGGCCTCCAGATGCCAGTCCAAGGAGGAAAACCTGGTGTCCTCTGTCTCCGTCTGTCGGCACTGACCCTAAACCCTGGAGTTGCTTCATCTCTTCATCTTCTGCTTTTCCCTTGGCTTTTTTCCACCTTAACCAAGATTTCTTCTAAATCTTGTGACCCCTTGAAGTCTCTGCCTGGGACTTGTAGGTGGAGATGGTTAATTATGAGGGGCCCGGAGGCATCAGGTAGGGTGTGCAGCTTGTGGGGTTCCCTCCTTTGCTGGGCGATGAGATGCCTGCTGGCCTCTTTCACACTTGGCTCCCATTGTTTTTCATGGATTTCCTTGCTGTATCTGGACGAAGATGATACAGATGAAGGTTGTCAGGTAGGCAGTAGTGGAAGGCTGACACAGAGAAGAGCTTAGCGTTTGGGAGAATTGAGTCGGTTAATTGGAAGAAAGGCTGACTTGTGAAGACATTGCCTTTGGACTGAAGGAGTCATTCAAGAAGCAGCTCCAAGTACGACTCCAGATTGGGCTGGAAGTTCGAAAGGTGGCTGGCTAGATGCCTTCCTGCTGTAAGCCAAGGACTGGCACTCTTGAGTAACCATCATAACCCAGTAAAACCCCTTTTTATGAAAAAGAGAAACAGACTGATGGACTTGTCCAGCTGCAGGCAGTCGTTGGTGGAGTGCAGCTGTGAGCCCAGGTCTATCTGGCTGCATACGCCAGCTGTTTACCTGTCGCCATGCTGCTGTGAAGGTGCCATTGCGGGCATCCGCATCCCCCTGTGGGCTGGGAGGCTTTGCAGGAGCTGTTGCCTGTAAACCTTTAACATTTGTGAGAAACATACCCCAAGACCTATGAATCTCCACATTGAAAAATAATATAATAACATATTTTCTTTCAAAAGATACAGTGTCATAAAAGAAAAGCATGATGCGGTCCCTCCAAACTTTTTTTGAGAGTCAATGTTCCTAGGCATTAGTAAGGACCAGCAGCCCTAGCATGCTGCATTACATTAGTAACTGTGTGTGGTGGGGGAGCCACTGACTGCCCGATGTCATTGTGACCTGTGGATGAGCCAGCAGGGGCTTCGGGGATTGCTTGTCAGCACTCCTCCCTCCTTTTCTCCTTTCCCTGTAGTCAGATGTTTATTAGAGGCTACAAACTACCGTCTTGTAATTTACTTTTTGAAAAGTTAAATACTTGAAGTGTAAATAAACTGGAAGGGAGAAACTTAAATGATAGTCGTGTTTCTTTGTAGCAGTGGACAGGGAGGAGCTGATTAGGTAGGGTAGAAGTAGATTTTTGAATAATTGTGCCATTTTTTAGGTTTTTCTTCTTCGACTTCAGGATTGGGTTATGGAAATTGGTTGTATGATGATAAAAATCTTTTATCCAAATAAAATTTTAAAAATCGATGTTCTTTGTTCTCTTATGTAAATCAGTTATTTATTTTTAAAAGGCTGTTGATGACATATAAACATAAAACACCTACCAATATTGGCAGTGAAAGTTGTAACCCATTTGTAAAATCAGAAATACTGAGTATTCCTTTAATGAAGTAGTGAATAAAGTAAGTGTCAGTGTCTGTGTCTGCGAGGCGCAGAAGTGAGTTGTCCTTGTTTTGCGGGCAGTGTAGGGATTGTGTGGCACCAGTGTTTGACTGTGCTCCGTGCCTCATGACCCCTGGGAAGCTGGTGCTGGCTGAGCTCAGCTCTCTGGGCCTTTCTTCAGCACTGTGAGTTGTAAAAGCTGCTTTTTCTCTGAAAACTGCGTGTGTCGTCTGGGTTTCCAGCGTTGGTGGGATGGAGCTGTGGTGGCCAGGCTGTGAGGTCTTATGGGGTCCTGCAGCAGCCAGATCGTGCAGAAGACAAGGAGGGGAAGAAAGGTGGTGAGTGGCACCCAGGGCTGTGCTCAAGGTCAGGAAGGCCAGCAGCCGCCTGGCAGAGGGAGTGGGCACCCCAGCCGGAGCCAGGGAGCCAGGCCTGGCTGTGTGTTAGAGGAAAAGTTAAATGTAACTTGCAGTGTTTGGTTGGGAGTCATAACAGGAATTGTGGTTAGCACCCTATTTGAAAATAGTGTTTAAGACTATTAGTTGAATTAACCAACTTAACTGTTTTAATGAATGTAGCTTTTTGTCAGAGGGCTTATTTCTACATCCAGTGCATAGTGCTGTGATGGACAAAAGGTCATTGTATTTTCTTCTCATATTCCTGCCAGTTATAGTTGCTAGTGGCTGTTTTCTTTCTTATCTCACACAGGAACATTTTTCTGTTTGAAATAAGTGTATAGGTTTTCAGGCATGCACTGAGCAGTATTAAGTTGGTATCTGATATTTGTAATTATGCTAAATCTTATTTTCTATCTTTAACATTGGAAAAGGACTTTTCGTACATGTCGGTGACAGATCTTATTTTATCTTACTTAGCTTGAGATCCCGTTATGCTTGGCTGGCTTCTCCTGATGTTGTGGAGACCAGGCCTGGTTTAGGGTGGTGTCTCTGGGTTGCAGTGCCTGACATCACTGTATGCCTCTGTTCACTGGGCCTTTGACATTTGTGTTCAACGAGAATGTCATAGAAGGAAGACATTGTGGTTGTGGGGGCCCCGAACAGCCAGCTCCCTTCAGGGCCCCTGGCTCTGACTCTCCCACAGTTGTCGCCCATGAATAGACCCCTTCAGGGATGAGCCGGAGTTTCTTGTCACTAGTGGAAGAGCCTCTGTTTTATTTTTCGCCCAAGTAGTTTAGAAAGTGATTTAGTCAGATTTGCATTTACTCAGGATGACTGTTTACTCAGGAATGCACTCTCTCTCAGAGTTTACAGTTAACTGTAGCAAACAGAATAATGGTCCAGGTTATCTTTACTAAGGCTGAAAGTTAAATTTAACTTGATGACTTTTTTCTTAAATGTTTAAGTTTACATTTGTATTACCAAAATTACAGGGAGAAAACTGAGCACGTTTACTTAATATCTTTATTACTTCTGTACAGTTTCTTTTGTATGAGTAATTTAAAATGTGTCTTTAGCTCTGGGAGACAAATAGCACATCTTAATGCATGTACTAGATGCACAGAAGACACATGTAATGTGATTTTCTGATGGAAGAAGCACTAGCTCTCCAACAGAGTTGGGTGAAAAAGCATGGAGGCAAGGATTCCATTTTTTTCACTTAGGTCAGCCCCTCAGTCTGATGCCAAAGAAGGCAGCGTGATGCGGAGCAGTGGCAGGAGGACCTGGGGCCGCTCTCTGGCTCTGCTACTCCCAGCTGTTTGAGTTGGGAGAAGTAGTTTCCTCCTCTAGGAGGAGAGGTTGTGTGTGCAGAGCACCTTGTTCGGAGTGCAAGGAGCACCTGCAGTTCACATCCAGGTGCCTTCTGGTCCTGCCCTGGGCCAGGCCTTTGCTGCGGTGATAGCTGGTGGAAAGCATTCCTCCTTGGTTTCACCAGTTTTGCACTTCATATTTATCTGTCAGTTTTTAAGACTTATTTTTGGCTAAATTTGCTACACTAATCCCAGGGTATCAGGAAACATTTTAATTTTAAGGTTAATTTGTAATTATTCTGCTATCTTTAAATGAAGTAGTAAAGATTGTTTACATTGATAAACCTTTAATTTTTAATAAATGTGGTAATAAGGTGGTCTGAGACTGTTCATATTCACTAGAGAAAATCTATAGTTCCCAGAAATTGATTTCAGTTTTTAGATGCAATCTAAAGAGTAAACTATTTTTTTAGTCGAGATAAATTTTGCATATGTTAAAATGTATGGATTTTAAAGGTACAGTCCAAAGAGCTTTGACAATGTATATATCTGTTGTAACCGGTTCCCAAATCAAAATACAGAACCTATTTATCACCTTAGAAATTTACCTCATTCGCCTTTCCCTGTTGTCCTCCCCATCCTACCTGTCACCTCTTCTCTGATTTCTGTCACCATAGATTAGTTTTGCCGTCTCTTAGACTTCATATAAATGGAATTATGCAGGGTGTTTGTTTGGGGGATGGCTTCTTTTGCACGGCGCAGTGTTGTCGAGATTCGTCTGTGCTGTTGTGATTATCGGCGGCTCTCCTTTTCATGTAAACAGACATGGCATCTGATGATGGAATTCATGCCAGGTGTACCTGTGTCAGATGTGGTGGGCAGGAAGATAAAGTCCATTGTGTGGCCTTTGTGATCATTGATTACATGGGTTTAGTAGTCAGTGTCACAAGCAATGATGATACTCAACGCTTTAGTGCTTTGTAGAAGTAATAGTATGAATTGAACAATGGTGATGAACTGTCCAAAGTGTATAAATCTTAGTGTCAAATAGCAATTGAAATGTCAAATAACACATATTCATCATTTATTATAGGTGCTACAGAATATTTTAGAAACAGAAAATGAATATTCTAAAGAACTTCAGACTGTGCTTTCAACCTACCTACGGCCGTTGCAGACCAGTGAGAAGTAAGTTAGAGGATAAATTGCTTTAACTGTAAAATAGTCTAAACCTTAGGCTGTTCTCTTGTATTTTCAGAGAATAGAGGGTTAAATAGTGGAACAGAATTTAGTGTACCAGTTGGCCTTAGATATCAGCAATTTGTTTATTAGGTTAAGACTTCATCATGACATTGGGATGGCAAAGGAGAAGAATATAAGTAAAACTGTTTACATATTTTTACTGTTATTTTTCTTGGCTCTAGGTTAAGTTCAGCAAACATTTCATATTTAATGGGAAATCTAGAAGAAATATGTTCTTTCCAGCAAATGCTCGTACAGTCTTTAGAAGAATGCACCAAGTAAGTAAGATGCTAAAAGTTTGCAACACTCAGGTTGGTATAATTGGTATTTAAAGGATTAAGAGTGGCATAATTTTAGAATTCATATTTCTAAAGATGCAAATTGAAGTTATTTTAAATCTTTGGGGTAAGTCAGCTTTTATAGTCAAAGCTTTATTTTAGATTGTCTAGTTTATACAGCAGGAATCTTCAGAGAAATACTTGACAAGAATGGTGGTTTTTAAGGTGTTCCATAGAGGACCAGGAGGGATGAAGAGCCCCTGGGAGAGACAGAGAATGGCCTGACGTCAAGAGCACTGAGGGGACAGGTGGCTCAGTGCCTTGTGTGCCCCAGGTGCTGTACAGGCGGCCTTGAAGGCCAGGTCTTTCCAGCAGCGTCCTCTAGCTTGCCTGCTGTTTTGGGCCTTCCAGAAGCAGATACGGTGCGTCTTGAAATAACATACTAGGTTGGTGCAAAAGCAATTGTGGTGTTGGACTGTGAATTTTAAATCATAACTAGGCTTAGACACATCTTTATTAATCAAGAATCATTCCAATCAACACATTTTTTGCCAGTGAGAAATAAGTTTTATTCCTGGAGCGTAAAAGTCTGTGCTTCAGGATTCAGCAAACTCTTGGAAAGCATTTTCTGCATCCTGCTGGTTGTGGAAGCATTTTCCCTGCAAAAAGTTGTCGAGGTGCTTGAAGTGGTGGTTGGTGAGAGGTCAGGTGAATATGGCAGATGAGGCAAAACTTGGTAGCCCAATTTGTTCCATGTCTGAAGTGTTGGTTGTGTGACGTGTGGTCGGGTGCTGTCCTGGAGAAGCATCGGGCCCTTCCTGTTGACCAATGCCGGCTGCAGGCGTTGCAGTTTTCAGTGCATCCCATCGACTTGCTGAGCGTACTCCTCAGGCGTGATGGTTTCTCGGGGATTCAGAAAGCTGTAGTGGGTCAGACCGGCAGCAGACCACCAAACAGTGACCGTGATGTTCTTATGGTGCAAGTTTGGCTTTGGGAAGTGCTTGGAGCTTCGTCCCGGTCCCACCACTGAGCTGGTCCAGCCACTATAACATTTTGTCGTATAAGATCCACTTTTCGGCACACATCACAATCTAATCAATAAATGGCTCATTGTTGTTGTATAGAATAAGCGAACATGGCACTTCAAAATGACAGTTTTTAAAATTTTTCACCGAGCTTATGAGGCAGCACCCACTTACTCAGCTTCTTCACCTCTTCAATTTGCTTCAAATGCCGATCGACTGTAGAGTGGTTAATGTTGAGTTCTTCAGCAGCTCCTCGTGTAGTTGGAAGAGGATCAGCTTCGATGGTTGCTCTCTGTTGGTCGTTGTCGGCCTCTGATGGCCGGCCACTACGCTCCTCATCCTCCAGGCTCTGGTCTCCTCTGCAAAACTTCTTGACCCACCACTGCATTGCACGTTCATTAGCAGTTCCTGGGCCAATGCATTGTTGATGTTACAAATTGTCTCCACTGCATAATGACCCATTTTGAACTGGAATAAGAAAATTGATCTAATTTGCCTTTTGTTTAATATCATTTCCATAGTCTAAAACATAAAATAAACAGCAAGTAACAGATCATTAGCAAAAAACCGTAAAGCTAGAAATACGCATTAAAATGATGTCTAATCCCATTTAAGAACGTATTCCAGTATCTAATGGCAAATTTCAACAGTGCAAAAATCATGAAAACATTTGCACCAGCCTAATATAACATGCTGTGCTGATAAATTAGGGCTTTGAGGTTTTGTCGCTTTTGCGAAATTTTTCTTTGGAGGAACAGAGCCCTGTTCTGGATGATCAGCCATCAGTTTTTTTGTGTGTGACTATTTTATGTTCTTTGTTTACATCAGACATTAAAGGATGTTTACTAATTTCCTGCTAGGTGACTTAAAACAGTTGTGTGTGTGGAAAGTTTTAGGTTTTAGTAGTCTACCAGGTGATCTTTACTTGTGGATTTGATGAAGGTGACCCGGTTTTTTTTTTTTTTTGTAATTATCTTTGATCTTCATTTATATAACCCACAGGAAAGACCGCAGTACATGATTCCCTTGGATTCTGGTTGGTCTCTGTTTTTTCATTCACCTTGTGTCTTTTTAGATTTGTAACTTGGTGACGGAGTGGCCTTCCTTTTGTGCCACTAGTTCTTTCAATTTCTGACAGTTTACCAACTATGATGAAAATACTTTGTTCCCTTAACTTTTTGGCTGTGCTTTGAGGTTTTTTCAAGGCATTTTATACTAGACTGTTGATACGGCAAAGAACGCTGAATGCCAGAGGAACAGAGTATTGTAGAAACGGAAAATGAATATTCTATAGAACTTCAGACTATACTTTTAACCCATCTGTAGGCCATTGTTTTTACTTTTATAGCATTTTTGGTTTACATAAAGTGGCATTATTTACATGACCATGAAAGAATAGTTTTGGAATCACTTTGATTTCATTTGCTAATAATTTGAAGTCTTTGTAAGAGTTCATATTGTGCTCAAAGTGGAAGTAAATGCTTGCCTCTATTTTTCCTGTTAGCTGTAGATAATGTCTAAAAGTTGTTACAGTACATTTAAAAAGTACAGTTTGTAGTACCTCTGTTGGGCATTATATTAGCGCTGTGAATTATTATCCTCACATTTCTGATTAAAAAGCTGAAATAAAGGACAGTAAAGTTATAGGCTTGAAGCCGTGTGTTTACCAAGGCCTTAGTCCTTACATTATCTCAGAATTCATTATGGCTTAGGTATTATTTTGATCAAGTTTCTCAAATTTATGCTACATGTATGTGAGGTGTTAGAGTTCCACAGGGAAATGGAATGTACAAGACAAAGTTTTCCTTCTCAGCTATTTCTCTTTTTTATTATGAATATTCTGACACTTTTATTGTTCCCATTTTTAAGACGGTTAATTTCATCTTTTTGTTCTATATGTGAAATTTCTGTACCACTTTACAGTTTACCAAATGCCGTGTGTGTGTGTGTGTGTGTGTGTGTGTGTGTATATAGCAGTTTCATATTCATTCTTTTTTTTTTTTTTTGGATGCAGTGTCTTGCTCTTTCACCCAGGCTGGAGTACAATGGCACGATCTCCGCTCACTGAAACCTCTGTCTTCTAAGTTCAAGCTAGTGTCCTGCCTCCGCCTCCTAAGTAGCTAGGATTACTGGAGGGCGCCGCCACCCCTCGCTAATTTTTTTTTTTTTTTTTTTTTTTTTTTAATTTTTTGTAGAGACGAGGTTTCACCATGTTGGTCAGGCTGGTCTCCAACTCCTAACCCCAAATGAACCCACCCACCTCAGCCTCCCAAAGTGTTGGGATTACAGGCATGAGCCACCACCCCCAGCCTTCATATTAATTATTTCTTTTGATTTTCCCATCTCTACCCAGACTTGATTCCTAGATGTCCAGCCCCTTTCACAGCTGCCTGTTGGTTAGACCCAGGAGGTGACAGACTATAGGCTGGGTCACATTCTGCCTGCCACCTGTTGCTGTAAAGTTTCACCGGCACATGCTGTACTTGCACATTCACACATTGTTAATGGCTGTGTTTGTACTACAGTGGCAGCACTGGAGTTGTGATACAAAGTGTGGCTCACGTACCTCAAATATTTGCTCCTTTGCTTTTTATAGAAAGTTGGCTGACCCCACCTGAGATGTGCTTTCTCCCTTGGGACCTCGACCTAGCCCTAACCTCTCCATTCCCTGTGTGTTCTGAGGCCTATGTTTCTTTTCTTGGTATTTTTGCCACGTAGGATGTCTGTCTTCCCTCCTGAAAATTGAAGTTCCTATCTGCTATTTTTTTTTTCCAGGGAGAGGAACGCTTTTTTTTTTTTTTTTTTTGTAATTCGGGTCTGTTACTGACAAAAACGATCATGGAGTTTGTTGTCTGAAAATTGCTGCCTTCATTTCCGAAGATTTTTTTTTCTGGATACTGAACTCTAGGTGACAGATTTTTTGTTTCAGCACTTGAAGGGTATTGCTCCATTGTCTTTTGGCCTTCACTGTATCTAGAGATTGTATCTTATGGCGACCTTCATTATATTCTGATCGGTACAATTTCAGATGGTTGTTCCCCTGCCCTTTTTCTGGAGTTGAGTTTAGTTTTTAGGTTTTTGGCATTTTGATCGTGATTATCCCGGGTGTGGTTTTCTGACTTCTCAAACTTGAAAATGTATGTCTTTTTACCAAATGTGGGGAATTTGGAGACATTATTTCTTCAAATATGTTTCTGCTTTACTGCTTCTGCTCTCCTTTGGGACTCCAGCTACGTGTATGTGGACCTTTTACCCCGGAGTGTAAAGCCCCAGAGGCTTTGCTTCCTGCTTTCTGACCTGGTCTCCCTCTGTTCTCAGGTGGAAAGGCGTCCTCTGTGTCCTCGTGTTCACTGCCTGCCTCTCTGCTCTCTCGTTCATCCTGCGCAACAAGTCTTTAGTTTGAGAATTTCTTTTTCAGTTCTAGAATTTGTTTCACTTAAAAATTTTAGTTCTCTGCTAAGATTTTATATTTGTTCATTCACTACAAGAATATTTGTCTTTATATCTTTTAGCAAGAATTAGACTCCTTTAAGGTCCCATCTGCTAATTGTCTTTCGTTGTGAGGATGGGTTATGTCTTCTTGATTCTTTTTATTTCTAGCGACTCTGAATTGTGTCCTGTTTACTGTGGATTGTAGACTTTAGTCATGTTCAGTTTCCCTGAAGAGTATTGATTTGTTTGTGTGTTTGACAGGCATATAACTTGGTCAGAATTGCCAACTCTCCCCTGGCAGATGCTCAAATCTCGGTCCACTTATTTTAGGTTCAGCTGATCTGTAGCTGGCATTGTGCAAGTTCTTTCTGCCATCAGCCAGAGATTGGGGCAGAATTTAGAGACAGAATTCTGGGTCACACTCACTGTTTTTCTCCCAACTTGCAGCAGCTCCAGCTGAACCAAACCCTGTGGATTTTTGTTGGAGTTTTAACTGTTCTACACAACAGAGTTGGCTGCCATTAGCTTAAAAGTTGAGATAGC